AAAAAATTTAAAAATTTAATTTTCGCCCCAAAATAGTGTTTTCCGTTACTTGCTAACGGACATGTAACGGCGGGACGAAAAGTGTTCAAACTTGAAACTTGGAGGTGAACTTTGTTCATTTTAGAACAAGGGGACGAAAAGTGAAATCGGGCCAAACACGAGGGACCAAAAGTGTACTTATCCCCATTTTATATACATAAATGATTTTTATTTTCTAACATTTGCTCTTAAGAAAAAGAAACGGAATTCAGTATCTAATCTAAATAAAAAAAAAACCTAAAAATAAATAGGGTACATTCCACTTTACCCCCTCGTACTCTGCCCGAGAATCACTTTACCCCCTCGTACTCTCAATTTCATCGATTTACCCCCTGTACTTGTACAATTTCCCAATACAGCCCTCTTCGTCAACTTTTTTCGATTTTGACTCTGATGCCGTTTGATAAACTCTGTAAATTATAAAATTGCCAATAACACGTCGTTTCTTCTTCTCCCACCACTTCCATTTCCAAGATATCCCCAAATTCAAGGCCTAACTTAGCAAAAATCAAGACAAAAAATTGATCGATTCCACCTAGTGCAAAGAAAAAAAATATATGAATGTGTGAAACTTTCTCTTTTCTAAACTCGAGAGTCAAAATCGAAAAAAGTCAATATTTACGTCAATAATTTGACTCTGACCAAACGGCGTCAGAGTCAAAATCGAAAAAAGTTGACGGAGAGGGTTGTATTGGGAAATTGTACAAGTATATGGGAGTAAATCGATGAAATTAAGAGTACGAATGGGTAAAATGATTCTCGGGCAGAGTACGAGGGGGTAAAGTGTAATTTACCCAAATAAATAAAACAAAAATCCCCCTATGTCACGTGCAGCACACATGCCTAATCAATAGACTACACTATAAAAATGAATTGAAAATTCCCCCATTCCTTCCAAGATTTTTGCTGCACAATTTCTTTTCTCCCTTTTTCTACATCTCTCTCTACCCCCTCTTTACCTCTTTCTGGATCCGTTCTGTATTTCTAGGGTTTTGAATTTTATCTCTAACTAAATTAATAAATTCCGAAATTAAATTAATTGAAATTCGCCGATATGAAGCTCACCGTGAAAACTCTCAAAGGCAGCCACTTCCAAATTACCGTCCACCCGAACGACACCGTCAGTAACTTTTCTTTCTCTCTCTTTCTCGTTGCATCTGCTGAGTATTTTCTTTTAATTTTTGTTTTTAATAATGGCGTATTGAGTATTTAATTTTTTTGATTTTTGATTTTAGAATATTTAGTTAAAGTTCCCAGCTTTTACATGCATTTGGCTTAATTACCATCGCTTACTTATTTTTTTTCAAGTTTTGATTGGATAATGGGGTTGGGTTAATCGACCTTTTGCGTGCATTACTCGAATCCACACTTACATTTGTTAAATTGCTTGATAAAAAATATAAATAGTAGGTGAGCTTGCAAAATAACTTTTAATTTAGAAGATTTTATATATATTTTTGCTTATTGGATTTCATCAGATTTGTTATATGTTTTAATGAGGCTTACGGGTGAAAATGCTGACTGTATTTTCATTGTTCAAACGGAATGTTAGAAAGTCGCAAACTGTTTTACAGTGAATTTGTTTCCGAAATCTGAAGTAACATATGTCAATTTTCAATTTCTAGAATGTAGCGTGTATGACTCTACTCGGCAATTCCAAGTTTGTCGGAAACGTATGTGGTGGTCTCTTCTTTTTATTTGATTGCTACATCTTATACATTTTGGAACTGTCGTATTATAAATGGTGTTTTTGACTTATTATTTGCTCTCATAGTATATTTCCGATATTGTTGACCGATCAAGATTGTTGGTTATTTATGATACTAGGTAATGGCTGTTAAGAAAAGCATTGAAGATGTACAAGGCAAAGATAATTATCCATGTGGCCAGCAATTGTTGATTCACAATGGGAAAGTATTAAAAGACGAAACTACTTTGGCTGAAAACAAGGTTTCTGAAGATGGTTTTCTTGTTGTCATGTTAAGTAAGGTAACCCCTTAGACCCGACCCGACCCGTTTCTTTGAATCTTAGCCACATTGTACATAATTTACTTTTCTTCATTTTCTTGGCTTCTCGGATATCTTTTGATTTATTTAATTTTTCTCGGGTTAATTTCAGAGCAAAAGTTCAGTTTCAAGTGTGTCAACATCTTCCCAGGTGAGATACTGGAAATACACATCTTCGTCTTTTATTTATTTACTTAATTATGTATTTTTCTAATACCTAATCGTATGCACAGCCTGCACCTATTGCTGCACCAGCTTCTGTTCCTACTCCTGCAGCTGAATCTCAGCCAGTTGTACAGTGAGTTTTAGTAAAATATCGGCATTCATAACGTGTTTATATATACATACACACACACACACACACACACCACTTGATGATGTTACTTTTGTGGCGTAGGGCCCCTAAGACCACTGCTTCAGCTTCTGTCGCTCCATCAGCAAAGTATGGAAATCTTTTCATTTGTAACTTCCGAGAAAAATATTTGTTAATATGTGTTTATTTAATTGTTGATGCAGTGACGCTTTTAACCCTTATGCTGAAGCTGCTTCCAATATAGTTGTTGATAACTCTCTCGAGCAGACTATTCAACATCTGATTGATATGGGTGGTGGTAGTTGGGACAAAGAGACAGTAACACGTGCACTTCGAGCTGCGTATAATAATCCCGAACGAGCTGTGGATTACTTGTATTCAGTACGAATTTTGATCCAATTTCTTGTTTTTTTTTTCTTTTTTTTTTTCCATTCGTGTTCAGCAAAAGATATTGACTTTTTTTGTTTTTCTTTAATCAAAGGGAATCCCTGAGAGCGCAGAAGTCGCAGTTCCATTGGTTCAATCTGGAGTCGATTCTGTTGCTGCTGTAAGTGGTCCACCTGCTTCAGGAGCACCTAATTCATCCCCGTTGAATTTGTTTCCTCAGGTTCTTTTTTCTTAAACTATTACTATCATCTCGAGGGTCAAATAACATACGACATGTTTATTATTTTTCTTGTATTTCATATTCTGTCGGAAATTCCGTAGGAGACTATTTCTGGTGGTGCTGGTCTTGGATCCCTTGGTTTCCTCAGGAACAACCAGCAGGTGGGTTATTTTTTTCTGAATTTGTTTTATACATTCTTTAGCAAGTAAAATCCCGAGCTCTTTTTTTTTTTTTTTTAATAATTATTACATGGTGTATTTAACTATTTATCCATGAAAGCATGTATATTTTAATCCAAGTTTCTATCGCAGTTTCAAGCACTGCGTTCGCTGGTTCAAACTAATCCTCAAATTCTACAGGTAGCTACACAAGTTTTACGTGTTTGTTTTTGCGAATTTTTTTTTTTATATTTTTTAAAAAACTTAATAGCTAAATATATTGCTCGTATAGCCCATGCTCCAAGAGCTTGGGAAACAAAATCCTTCACTTTTGAGGCTCATACAAGAAAACCATCAAGAGTTCCTCCAATTGATCAACGAACCTGTTGATGATTCCGAAGGGTGAGTATTTATACTCGAGTTAGTACTATCTTTTTTATTTATTTATTATTATTTAATTATTTATTTCTGTATACGCATGTGAATCTGAGTAGCTTTTGTTTATATGTTTATAGGGATATATTTGATCAGGCAGATCAAGAAATGCCACACGCTGTTAGTGTGACACCTGCAGAGCAGGAGGCCATCGAAAGAGTATGAGAAATGTCGATTCTATACTCTTTTATCAATTATTTCATTTTATTTTTGAATTTCTTATAATTATTATATACGGATAATATTTGTAGATGGAGGCGATGGGTTTTGAGAGAGCTCTTGTTATTGAGGCATTTCTAGCTTGCGAGCGCAACGAGGAATTAGCGGTGAACTACCTCTTGGAGCATGCTGGAGATTACGAGGACTAAATGCTCGACAAATTTTAGATCAACAATTCATTAGTGAAAAACACGAGTTTAAACCGTTTTTAAATTTTTTTTTTTTCAACTTGTTATACTGGGAATATGTAAGAATTTGATGCTGATTGGGATTTCGATTGATATGTATTGATTATGAAGTCCATAGTATGGTTTTTGGTTTTCATTACATGAATATTAATTGTTGGAGACAATAGTGGAGTCAGGATTTTAAGTACGGGGGCGAATGCATTAAAAAAAATTATAGGGAGGACCGTTAATGCAATTATACACAGATTTTTTTTTATATGTATATATATGTTGTGGGGGCCATAGCCCCCTTTGGACCTATGCTTTTTAGAGTTTAAGTTTCAAATTAAATCATAAGAATAATACTTGGTTCAAACTCAACTCTTGTTATTGTGTTATTGCACAATCAATTGACGGATATTATCCAATGCACTTGATTGTATAATGAAAAACTTAAATATATAAAAGGGGTTATTTTACATACCCTAAGTCACCAAATAAACTAAGGATAAACTTAAACTCAAATCATCCTTTGATATACCCCTGGAGAAGCGAAAATACTATACTACCTTTATATGCAATTTTCGGCCAAACTGCGTTCAACATTTATGGTCCTGCATTTATTATGTTCGCTGATTTATTTATTATTATTATTATTTTTTTTTTTTTAATAAACCTGTTTGTTAACTATATATATATATATATATATATATATATATATAAAACCCTATATATATATATATATATATATATATATATATATATATATATATATATATATATATATATATATATATATATATATATATATATATATATTTAATTTTTTATTTTTTTTTTAAATTATTATTTTTTTTTTTTATTTTCAAAACAATATGTTTACGGTACTGAAAATAACTACATGTAACTATAGTACCTATAGTAATTCATAGTTATGTTCGTTTTTTTTCCCCATATTTTTAGCCGATCAATTGTATACACACACGAATACTGACTTATACAAAATAAATCCATAAAACCCCAACAAAAATTTACAAATGTCAATATTTTTATTATAAATTACATCAGAACCAATAAAATACAAATCGAAAATACACAAATATACTCATATGTAACTACATGTTACTATAGTAATGTATAGTAATGTACAATAATGTATACAGTCTGTTGAACAAATCAGATGTAACTTCAAAAAAAAAATTGACACCTTCAAGGAAAGGATCAATGGCCTTCATTAAGCTGCAATAGCAAAATCAAAAAAAAAAAAAATTTATTTTAGTGAAAATCAACAAAATTTGAAGAAAAACATCAAAACACTCAAAAATCAACAAATAGTAAGAGATCGAGAGATAGAGAGAGAGGTTATTGCTGGGAAATGCTACAGATTTTAAATCAAACAGACAGTGACTCCTCACCCCCCTCGCATCCTACCAAAACGCTAGACGCCGCTAATAACCACCCACGGTTCCGCGCGCCCATAAAATGCAAAAAAATATAGAAATAAATCTGAAAAGATAAAAATAAACGAAATTACCATAAAAAAATAGATCCCGACGAGAGGAATCCAACGGTGGGTGACCCGTCAAATTTCGACGGGTGGAACACAAAATAAAGCTCCAGCAAGACCACCGTCCTCGAATGAAAAAAAAAATTGCAGAAACAGATCCGCGCTCGAAACTGAATGAAATCACCACCAAAGAAAGAGCTCGACGAGAGGAATCCAACGGTAGTTAAACCATCGAATTCCGACCACCGGAGAGAGAGTTATGGCTCCGGGAAGCAATTTCGCCGGTGAGAGGTTTGTAGAGGCGGGATTTTGAATCAGGGAGAAGAAGAGAGACACCGTGAGTGGCTAGGGTTAAAACTGATTTTAGAAGGTCATTATAGGAACTTCAGGGTAGCCCAAGGGGTATTTCAAAATATTTTTAAAATGAGAGGGGTTTCCCCTAAAGTATAATCCACTTGGTAGTTAATTCTATATAATTTGGAAATGAGGGGTCTACAAAATAATCCCTATATAAAAAACTACTAAAGGATAACTATATACTATATTATTCGAAATAAATATTTTAAGCAATTTTATATAAAGTAGCTTTCAAAAATCAAAATACCACAATGATTAAAAGTTAAAACAAATGGGAGTTACATATGTGAAACTCACGTGAAAGTAAATGAAAATGAACAAGATTTTAATTTGTAATGAATTTGAAACTCTTAATTTAAAGTCAACTAATATGATAACCCTCAATCATTTGATGAAGTAATGAATTTCACTCATTTGAGAAGTCAACAAGATTTTGGTTGATTGACCTAAAAATCAAAGGCTAATTTTGACCCTTGAAACCGAGGGGTCAGATTATAACTGCCCCCAATCCAAATCAAAGGCTAATTTGACACTTGTTGAGGGACACAATAATTAAGCCAAAAAGGGGAAAAAAAAAAAAGTCTTATCCCAAATATTTATAAACTAATTTGAGTATTTCTTCTAGTGCTAAGTAATAGTTGATCTTCAAACTAATTGAAAACTGATAAATATTATTGCGATTGGAAAATTTTAATGTTAAGATGATCAACAACTTAACAAATTGATAAAATTAGTTTAGTATATCACCAAATGAAGTAACTGAAGTCAAATATATGTTTGTGGGGCACCGAACTTTGGTCCGTCGTCTTAGCAGGAGATTGAGTTATCATAATTTACATTCTTCGATTAAAATATATCGGGGTGAGGAATTTCACCTTGTAGTGTAACTAAAATGAAATATAATCCGAAAGCATATAACTTGCTAATATAGCACTAACTTGAACTGATGGATTGCAATCACATTTAATAGTTGATGAAATGAATTTAATTTTTTTCGACATCATAATGAAACCGCGAACAATCATATAACTGCGCTGGGTAAAAAATCATATATGTGGTTAAAAATTAAAACAAATATATTCATGAAATTAAAATTGAAATTGTGATAATATTTTTTTGCAATATGGTCCCCCAATCACATTTTGCCATTTTATTTTATTTTTGTTTTACTTTATTTGGTTGTTATTAGAGAGAGAGAGAGAGTAAATAATAGTTGGAAAGTGCGTAGACGCGTCGTTGCCGGCAACGCTCCTTATATCTAGCCGATACCACAGGTAAATTATTTCTGCCAGACATATTCTTCTTTCATCGATTCTTGTTAATTAATACATTTTGTCACTAAATAAATTTAATCATTTGGGTTTTTCAAAGGGAAAACCCGTTTTACTTCAACGCCGTCTCCGTCTCCGTCGCCGTCGCCGTCACCGTCGCCGTCAACGGCCAGGATCGTTTGGTGGGAGGCCTTCTTTCGCTTCTGTTTTCCTTCTTCCGTAAGTTCCCTTTTATTTTTCTCTTTTTTTGGGCTCTTACATTCATGGGTTCTTGCAGATCTGCTGATTTTTCTCTCTGTGTGTTTTTGGTGTGTGTGTGTGTGTGTGTTTTTGCAGCTCTATTTTTTTTGGTGATGTAATTGGGCTTGTGATAATTATTTTTGTGATTGGATCTGAGTTATATTTATAGGATCTTGGGTGGTTCTTATGGCTAATTGGTGGGAAATTGAATAATTTTTTGGTAAAAATCCTTTCTTGATTTGATCTGATAGAAATGAAGAGCTTCAAAAAGAATTTGGGCAAGAAGTGAAACCCTAATTAGAGATCATTGGATTATAACTGAAAGTGTAGTTGGTGTTTGCAAATCGATCGTCTGTATTATCGCCGTATTTCGAAGAAAATGATTAGGTTGCTATGGAGCTCTATATTAACTAACTGCTTTGTTACTTTTAGTATCAAGATAGTATTTAGTAGTGACGTATCTTATTTTTCGTATTAGTGTATATCGTTTCGTTTAATCATCTCGAGTCGGTACTCTTGATCACGAGTTTCGGAAAATGATTAAAAAGTTTAAACATGTAATGGGAAAATTGCAAGATAATAGTTCTTGAGGTTGTTTTAGTCATCGAACAAGATTCTGCATTTTGTTCGATTTTTTTCTCGAATTTAAACGAAGCCCACATTTTATAATCACTAAAACAAACTCGAAAAAAAACGTGTGCAGGAAACTTGTCTTGTGACAGACAAAGAAAGCAATTCTTGGAAGAAAGGAAAAAAAAAATATGCCTCTCGACAATGTAATAACTTCACCTCACCGGAGGTCGCAAACACAGACGGCGTTTTCTCAGGGGACCCCAAAGAAACGGGACCCACGAGGTGGCGAAGAATTGGGCAGCTTTACGACACTTATACAGAGGCATCGATTTCTTCTGGTCGCACTTGTACTACTCACTTTTCTTTGCACCGTTTATCTCTACTTTGCGGTGACACTTGGCACAAGCGATGAATGTTCCGGATTGATTGGGGCTCGAAGGGCCACCTGTAATTTGAAACTGGTTAAAGATTCTGTGGCGGGTAAGGGGAAATTGAAATTCTTTTAAGTAGAGAATATATTTTGGTTCGATTAATTTTCCACAGGCTCGTTCATCGTTGATTTTCGGTGTATATGCACAGAAGTAATTGTTTTGAGGAGAGTGTGTGTGTATGGCAGCAGTGAAAAAAATTAACTTGTATGAAATATGAATTTCGGATTTTTTTTTTCTTTATTTATTTATGCAATTTTTACATTGTTGGAGGTTGTAGATTTTTTGGGAATTCATAATATGCCAAAGATATATATAATTTTTATAAGTATATAACAAACCCCATTCTCGTGAGTTATTTTTATTTAATTTCTTTTAGGCATCATTCTTTTTGAGTTATTAAAGATAATTTTTTTTTTTTGAAAAAATAGAAGAATTCCTTAAAATTATATATACTCTTAAAAATATGGGTAATTACAATCGCTCTTCAACTATAAAGTGTTTTTGCACAAAACAAGTACAAACTAAACTATAGAATATTCCATGGAATTTAGAAAATTTTATTAAATTTGATACGATAAAAGTGGACGTGTAAGAAAATTCATAGTTGAGGCAGTGATTGTAATTACCCAAATAAGATGAGCTTTTTTTCGTAATTCGACCTTATATCAGGGGTGGCCGCAATTTAATTGCAAGAACAATTATTGGACTCTACTCCAAAAGAAAAAAAAAGCCAATACATGACAAAAAAATGCTAAGAAAATAAAATAAAATTAATGAATCTACAAACAAGAGAGTCAAATTGAACCATATTCAGCTATTTATTATTTCAAATTCAAATCCAAAAACTGAATTTTTAGACTATCTTCAGTTCTTTCAGCCAAGCTGTGTGCAAGGGGCACGGATCTCGTTCGCCTTGTGAAATTGCTTTCTCCGACAGCGAATAGAACCACCCGTTTCTCCATTTGAACTGCAAATTTCGACAAATTATTTTTAATCAAAATTAATCGGAATAATAAAAGTACAATAAAGTTCGACAATTTTTTATGTACCTCCTTAACTGCTGTAGGAAAATGAGCAACTGCCCTCGAGTAAGCACATAATCTATCCTCCATCGCTCCTTCAAAGACTATACCTTTCTCTGCAGCCGCCGCAGCACCAAGTTCGGCTATCAGGGCCGACACCTGAAATCGATTATTCAACGTATTATTTTACCATATATATATATATAAATATTTAATAATCTTATTCTACATAAAAAATAATATTTAATATTTCTTTTTTTTTTTACCTCAGAACGATGTTCCTTCTCAACGAGGCCTACAGTTGCTCCAGGATGACGGGCTCCAACGAGCATGAATGCACATATCCATATCAGCTTTTCGAGCATTTGCTTCTCAAATGCATCTTTTTCAAGTACCTTTTTTTTCCCAATACAGTTAAAACCTCTATAAATTAATACAGTCGAGACTATCAAAATTCTATTAATTTAGCGAAATATTAAATTATCGAACTAATAATTTAACATGTTTTCACCGAGTCGGGACCAGAAGAAACTATTATTTAAGCGAGGTTATTAATTTATCGAGGTTCTTCTATATATTATTTATTAGGAATTTACAGAAATTGAATTGGTATATAATAACTCTTACCGATTTTATATTGAACATTATTATACATATTGATCGGCGAAGGCAAACCCCCGATTTTCTTTTTAAATGGGTATTTTAGTTTTATCAAATCTTGAAGAACACGTACGAAAAGAAACCTAAGACGAAAAGCACCTTGCAAGAAAGTCCACCGGCACGTAATCTTGCAGCAACTGCAGAACCCCATTTCCCATAACCGGCAGTTAAACCCTCCGGGTTCGTGTCGGTTATCCCATCGATCGGAGCTTCACCGAGTTTCGAAACCGCAAAATACGCTAAAACTTGACCGGCATCGCCTAACCCTTTAGTTTGAAACCACGGCTCCATCATTCCATTCTGGAAAAACACCAAATCTGCTACTTTGTTAAGGATCATAATTTTTACGCATGTAGTTATTACATCAAGATCCATCGACAATTTATCGTTATAGACACAAAAAATGTAAGAAAAAATAAAAATTCAATCTTTAAAAGTTTCAACACAAAATTGATTGAAGACATTTTCAGACAACAATCTGACACATTGCTTATAACTTATAACAGTCTTCAAACAGTTCCAATTTCGACAAGATGAGCAATAATCAGCAAAACCCATAAATAAATGACATTTAATTTAATAAAACAATAATTAAGAAAAAAAAAAAAGAAATTAAATATTACCGCTCCATCGAGATTTGGGAGTGGAATCGAGGACGGCATCCAGATCATCGTTCCGGGTACAAACTAAAATGGGCCCCGAAAAATCCGGAGGGACGGGCTCTCCTCTTTTCACCAGTATATCGTCTCCGCCGCCCATTTCCTGAAGTGCTTTCCCCACGCGCCCGCCGCCGACTATGACGGCCGGCGCCACCTTCTCTGCGGCGGTGGCCATGGATGGGGGAGAAGCGGTTGATAGGGATGCTTTGGGTTTGAATTTGAGCCTGATTGTTGAAGTGGGTTTTGTGCGGGGTTGGAAAAAGGAAGAGCTAGAAAGTGAGAGCGCGGTCGCCATTGATGGTGGTGGTGGTGGTGGTGGGGGTTTGAGAAAAAGCCATTTTCGAATTTGATGATTCCTGGTCAAGAAGGAGAAGAGAGCCACTCATTTCTGGAGAACCATATCCGGATCTTTTTGTATTCGAATCCGTGGCCGGTGCCCGACCCGGACCCGGAACAATTCTATATATATATATATATTTGTTCGGTAAGGGGTAATTTGGTTATTTATGTCAACAAGCAATTTTGATGCACTGAATTCATATAAGCTTACGAGAGATGAACAGACGTAAATTAATTAATTGGCTTATTATGGGGAAAACCTATTCGACGCTCAAGTCAACTAGTATCATCTATATTCTATTCTATATGTATCCGCTATATTTTTTTCCTACTCCAAATATTGTTCATCTCTAAGAGGGTGTTTGGTTGAACTTATTTTGGAACATCTGATAAGTTGTTTTAAGAATTGATAAGCTATTACGTCTTGTGTTTAAAATAAAAATTTTAAGTGTTTGGACAATGAGTTAATTATAAGTTATTTTTAATTGTTATAAGATCTTAAATAAAGAAGTTGATAGATGTATTTTTCAAGAAAGATCTTAAAAGCTCTCAAACGACTTATTTTTTTAATTTGTAAGATCTTAAATAAAAACAAAAATACTATACACTTTTGAAAAACTTATAAACTCTTAAACATGCTATACGCTGTTCTTAAGAACTTATATACTTAGCCAAACACCCTCTAAATGTAGAAATAAGAGCATAACCACAATATAATATTATCACATTACTCATCAACTCTAGTGATATCTTAAAGCAACATACAAAATCCAATATATGTAAATGAATTTGTATTAGGTATTATTATAGATATTGCCTAATGAGTAGTTGCTCATATCCATATAATATCCACATAATATAACAACACTTTTGACCACATTGTATAAAAGCTCACACACACTTCCACACACACACACACACACACACACACAATACTTAACAATATTATCTGTATAACCAAACCATCCACACCAAAAGATATTCAGAGATTGAAATCTAAATCTCCATGTAATAATAGGAAAAAACAATTTATCAATACATTTAAAAAAAAAAAAATGAATGTCTACTGCGTATCTAACTTTATCTATATATATATAAAAGAATGGCCAAATAAAAGGTGCAAAACATTCTCTCGAAAGAGAAGCATTTTCAGTATCAAATTGACCTATTTATCCAATTACCTAAGTGCCCCCCATGAATTATTCATGGATAAAAAATAAAAAAAATAAAAAAATGATATGCACCTCTACATTATTAATTAATTTTATATCTTTTTGTTCTAATCTAAATTTCTTACTAGTATTTTTTTCTAGTTTGTTTATCTTTACTAATATGAATTTGACCCCTTGTGTTTTTCTACGACTTTATTGGAACATTGACGATACGAATGAATCATAGTTACCAAACATAATATCGTGTTCCTCGACAAAGCTGCTAGAATCTTGAAAATCGAATGATGTTTGTATGTCATCGGGAAAACTGCTTCGTGGAGGATCCGGGTCCGGATTAGGGTTAGATGAGCTATTACAAGTAGCTGTCGTTTGCTCCATCATCTCTTTGAACTTGGAGGATTTCAATACAAGTTCTAGGGCCGACAGGGTGGTGGTGGTGCCGCCGGTGGAATCAGATGAAGAACCGGTGGTCTTAGTGTTCTCTTGACTAGGGTTTTTAAGGGTATTATTGTCCACGTCATTCTGGAGAGGTTGAAGCCACTTGATGTAATGACTGAGGTCAAAGTTGGTAATTGCGTTAACTCCACGGTACTCTATAGCTGCCATATCGTATGCAGTTGCCGCTTCTTCTTGAGTAGCTGCTTGAGTCAATTAAAATAAAAAAATAAAAATAATTAGGGGTATTTTGGGAAATTCACTAGTTGTAAATATTGAATTCAAGAATTAATAATTCAATTTGCATGAAAAAATTGGTATAGAGTGGGGCTGAAAATTATGTCACCAGCAGGAGGTGAGGGTTGGTGACCTATATATGAACAAACCATCCAACCAACCATAATCTAACAAATTCCTATCACATTATTAATTCTTTGACATAACAAAAATAAATCAGAAGATTGTCAAATCATCACATGACACGTGTACATTATAAAGAAAATGTTGTCTAGTTTTAGCTGGAAAATGTAATGTGATTGTGATGTATATGTTTTGGTTGGTTTTTATAGTTAACCTAATACATATATGACTTATTGTAATCCATGTTCTTAACTAATTATGAGAAAACAACTTAAACATTTTGCTCTAATTAAGGTGCATCAAAGTTCAACAATCAGCCTAACAAATTAAACCAAGTAATGGGTATTTTTGTCTTTTAAATTTGTTAGTTCAAGAGGAAAAATAAAAGAGTCGAATATCGAATAAAAATAAATAAACCACTAACCGTATGTTCCAAGATAGAGATATTTGTTGCCTAGCACTCTGCCTATCCGAGCTTCCCATCGTCCATTATGATGATGCCTATGTACAGTAACGAAACAATTATTTAAAACGAGGGTGAAAACATATAATAGCATAATGTAAGTTAAGAAAATATAAATTGTAGTTAAAATATCATAAATTAATTAAAACATATTATATCTAAAAATATAATTATTGCACCCTCTAATTTATTCTTTTTAAAAAAAATTACCAAACACTTTGGAAGAGCTTATAAGCTGTTTTTAACAACTTATAAGCGTAGGCAAACACCCACTTAATTCAATTAAATATCACAAAAAGTCTTGAAGCAATAATTCTCATATAAATTTTTGCCCTATTTATGTGCTACATTTACAAAAGCTAAAGTGAATGCACATATATATATAGAGTGACCGACTTTGGGAAGTTGAGAACTTATGATTTAGGACCATTCTTTCTCAGAGCAATTAATTTCATTCCTATATAAAATAAACATTAAAAAAAATTATCTAAAGAAAATAAATGAATAAATAAAATAGATAGTAATTAATTAATTCTTAACGAATATTCATTTTGCTCGCACGTACCTTGCTACACCTCTATACTTCGATACTCCACGAGAAAATCCACTGCTTTTTCTGCTATTCCATTTCATCAAAGAATATATATATATAAGAATGATATTTATAAATAAATAAATAAATAAATAAAATTGTCGCAATTAGTGTAATTTAGCGAATCCGAGTATTTGGACGTGTACCTTCGTAACGAACAAATATACTCTTCCTTCGATTGCCCCTCCATTTCCTTAAGCTCATCTTCATAGGCTGTGAACTACGAATACGTAACCGAAAATTTAATTTTTCGTTTAATAACCGATGATAAAATATAATCGAACGTATTTATTTCATTTTATATATATGTATGTATATTGAAATAAATTGTTGCTAATTGTTTTTATTTACAGGGAAATTTAGGATTATGTCCTGTCCCCAGTACTTCAGTGCAGCCAAGTCATAGGCACGTGCAGCTGCTTCTTCCTCATTGTAGGCCCCTTAAATTAATTTCGTAAATAAAATAAATAAATCACTAATTCATTTCTTTAAATATTAAATTATATTTTTTTATTTTTGTGAAAATGAGAAAAAATACATACCTAAGTATACTGCAGTTGAGTAGGATCCACCAACCATAAACCCCATGGAAATAGACCAGAATTCACCCAAAAAAAATTATATTAAATTACTTGTAATAAATAATAATATAATAATAATAATAAACGGTATTATTTTTAAAATTGAAAAAAAAATATATATATATATAATAATAAAAAAAAGAAACAAAAAAAAGGCAAAAGACAGATAGATGAAGAGTAACCTTGTCTTCCTTTCTTGTTTTGGGACTCATTCCAGCAATTCTTATCCCACAAATGTGCTTCATAGCGACCAGTCCACCTGTGCCTGAATATTTATATTTTATTTATTTTATAAATTAAATTAATTTATTTTATAAATTAAATTAATTTAAATGATGTAAAAAAAAATAAAAAAAAAAATCATGCATAAATTAAAGAAGAGAGAAAAAACCTTGTGACGCCCCTGTAAATGGAGCTACGTGGTTGTGGAGACTCCCTCGGAACGCTTTTTCGTGTTCGTTTCTTCTTTTCAGTTTTACCGGCGGCGGCGGCGGTGGTGGTGGTGGTGGTGGTGGAGGAGGAGGAGGAGGTGGTGGTGGTGGTGGGGCTTTTCTTTTTCTTTGAAGATTTTGCCATGAAACTTAATTCACTTGAGAAGAAATCCCTCAAATCTTTAGAAAAATGTATGTGGTGGGGGTAGGGTGGCGAATGGGGGGAGGAGATGCGGCGGAGAAGTGGTGGTTTGTGGGTAGTGTAAGTGGCGGCGGCTGGATTTGTGTGTTGAGTGAGTAAATGACTAAATGTTGGATCTTGTGTATATTTGATGTAGGCTATCTATATGTATATGTGTGTGTGTGTGTGTGTGTGTGTGTGTGTGTGTGTGTGTGTGTGTGTGTGTCTTTCACTTGTATTTATTCTGATGTGGGCTTTCTCCCTTTTTATTGTTATAAATAATAATACTTAATAATAATAATATTAATATTATTTTTAATATATTTTATTTAGCCACTCAAATCTCAATTAATATTGGCTTCTACTAGTTATATATGTGTCAACATTTTCCGTTGAAAATTTAATTGGGAGCTGCAAATATTGGTCCCTTTAGTTAATCTATATATATCTATATGTATATGTATATATATTGGCGCCCCCGACCTACATCCAAAAAAGTAAAAGACAAGTAGTTTCACCAATTCATATTTTAGGCCACTTGCCAAATACAAACATTCAAAGATATGCAGAAGTAATTTAGTTGGTTGTTGTCAATATTGGATTTAATTTGATGGGACTTGGATTTCTAAATTCGAATTTAATTAAACGTTTTCTAAACTCTAAACTTTTTTTAATAGTCCCTTAAGTATGCAATTCATTCTACTCTAATCTCTTCTTATTAAAATGAAACAATTTCAATATTCATGATATACGCCGGAGCCAGCATAAGGCCATGGTCCTCCTTATTTCTCAAATATCTATTATTTTATATAGAAAATATAAAAAACAAATTGTGTATAATAACTCTATCCTTAAGACGAAATTTTTCCGCTGCGGTGTTTATGTCTTTAACGGAAATCGTCTCCGAAGATACACCGGCAAAAAAATATGGAATAGAAGCACTATAAATTTCAAGTACGACAAATTGTACTTTGTATAAGAACTTTTCGAGAGAATCTTGAAAATGGTAGGCTAAAAACGCAGAAGAATAGAAATAGCTTTTTGGATTGAGGGTCACAATAACAAATCTCAACTTTTGCTTACTTGAATACTACCAAGTTTAAAACCATAATTGAGTACATATTTATAAGTTTTTTTCTTACTTTAATACCAAAATAAAATGAAAAGTACAAAAACACCCTTTCATACAAAATATCAATTATATCAATTTTTTTTGAAATTACTTATTTTAAAACCAAATAAAAGAAAGAAAAAACCCTTTTCTTTCAAATCCCCTCCACTGTCGTTCGCCGCCGCCGCCGCCGCCGAAACCTCCATTGTTATCAAGCTGCCACCGCATTTGTTATCACAAGTAATATTTGGTTTCAATTTTTTTTTTCTTTAATATTTATTTAGGATTTGATTGTTTGATATGGGTAATTAGGATTTGATTGTTTTAGGTAGGAATGATCGTTAATTAGTAATGGGTGCATCTAACTTCAGTCGATTTGAGCATTGATTTGAGATTCGTGGGTTGTTCTTCGTTCACAAAAATCGACATTTAGTTGTCGATGTTTGTGAAAATTTTGAAACTTAATTTTTGATAATTCGACAGAACACTGTCGAAAATTTTAGAACAATCGACAGCCTAGCTGTCGATTTTGCTAAAATTTTCGACAGTTTCCTGTCGAATTCTTACTGTGTAATATATATTTTTTAATTATTATTTTTTTTCTTTCCTATTTTTATTTGTTTGTGTTTATATTATGTATATTTATTTATTTATTTGTGTGTTATTTTGCAGTGGAAGAACCACGTGAACCTCGTATACCTCCGACTGTCTCGAACCGTAAGAAGAGGAAGGAATTATCCGATAAGGGCAAGGGCAAGGCAATCACGACCAAGAAAAAGACCACGACCAAGAAAAAGTCTGGAGAGGGTTCTTCCTCAATAAATCCGGTGCCGGCTCTACCTTCGACTGTAGAAGTTGGTGATTCGAGCAATGAACCGGTCCGAGGTCCCGAGATACCGGAATTGTATTCAAATTTTGATAAGCACATTGCTTATCATATTGTGAACAGAGGTCCAGAGCGCTCGTAGCGCAGCTCAGAATTTCGAATTCAAAATCACACAGGAACTTTGAAAGGCTGGGTGCCGGCACCATTTATTATAGAGGCCGTACAAAGAGCTGGATTAATGTCAGTTAACAAGCATCGTACAACACCGTGGACGGCCATCTACTTAGAGCCTTCATAGAGAGATGGCAGCCAGCTACCAACACATTTCATTTACCTGTTGGAGGGATGACCATCACACTTGATGATGTGAGTACGTTGGTCGGTTTGCCAGTTGTTGGGCGTACTGTATCTTGCGAGCGTTTGACCTGTGATTCTAAAACGAAGTTCAGTAGTTTGATGTCCAAGTTGCTAGGCGAGTACCCGGACGATGTAGACAAAAAGAAATCGGTGAAGCAGGAATGGTTGAAGGCTAAATTTAGCAAGGTGACCATGAGAGACAGTGCGGAGAAGAGGACATACGCCATTCAGGCGTATTTGTTATTTTTGCTGGAGTGTACTATACTGTGCGACAAGACCGGCAACATAGTAATCGTGGAGTATCTAAATCTCGTCTCTGATTTGGATCGGATCGGCGAGTATGCTTGGGGCACTGCATGTCTTTGCCGGTTGTACGATGAGCTATCGTCAGCCTCACAAAATTCAACGAACTCGATGGCTAGCTGGCTAACGCTCTTCCAATCATAGATTTACGAGCACTTTCCTTATTTGGCGGGTGGCACATTGAAGACGGAATTCGAGGGGCCATTAGCCAGCCGATGGGAGCCTCAGTCAAAGACTACTTCAACGCCTGAACGAGCGTCGTACTTGCGATCTTGATTAGATGATTTGATCCCCGATCAGGTAAAATACAAGTTTAATAATTTGTTATTACTACTTAAGTAGGTTTCTAAATCTAATTTTTTATTTATTTTACTAGGTTTTATGGTCACCGTACACGGCTATTCGTGATCGTTTCCCGATGCCAGATTCTGTTTGGTTCAGTGGGATGATATGCTGCATGGACCACTTCGAGGCATATCATCCGGACAGAGTGTTGAGGTAGTTCAACCGGGTCCAAATTATTCCAGGTCGTGTATACATGTCAAAAGATATGTACAAAGCTCTAGTTAACAAAGGTCGACCAGTCCATAACTCAGTATTCACTGCGTATGGCGAACGATTCTCTGATCGTTGGGAGGAGTATTGTCTGGACAAGGAGTCGAGGTCCGTTGAATTTGAACTCGGGGAGGCGGACACTTCGCCGGACTACATGGATTGGTTCTGGCCCAGATGCATGTTACAACTCAGTAGGCATGGAGCCCATCCACCTCGACCCCAGGCGGATCGACCTCGACCACGTGAAGCTCGTCCAGAGAGTGGTCCAACTTTTGCAAATTTTGGAGTTGGTGAAGGGTACACTTAGCGAGGTGCGGGGACTTGCGCCATCCGACGCTCATACGGTCATGTGGGGGACCCTAAATGATATTGTTAGATTGATCGAGCCGAATGCCCCACTTCCACCATCATCGAGCTCGTCGGATGCCCCACCACCACCTCCAGCTAGTTCGATGGAGCCACTTCCACTGCCATCGAGCTCGTCGGATGCCCCACAAGCACCTCCTCCTCATACTACTCTAGAAGAATCACAAGCAGTTGTGAAACGACGGGCTCCATGCTCATGTGTTTCCAATACGAGCCTATTAACTCAAGTGGGATAGGACATTTGTTCACAAAAACATACTCATGAAGTTCATGGCAACATGGTAGACCGTGAGTTGTTCGGATGGCGCAACTACAACCCATATCGCTCGGTTGTAATAGTTTCGCATTGTCCACCTCAACTTTGAGTAGTTGCAGAGCGAATTTTGAGATAATTCCACGAAGCTCATTGTATATCAACGTTTTGAAAGTGTGTTCGTAAGTATTTTTACTTACTTCAAAAGAAGCTTTGATGTCATTGTGTTGTTCGACAATTTGGTTGTGGACTTTCGTATACAAATCCACAAATGTGCCAGTTGAATTATGCACATCCCTTTTCATTCGTCCGTGTGCCCTCTCCACCCTACTAGAAGTGTACGTTTCAAAATGAGTACACTTATTTGTCCACACCGATGCAAGTCTCTCCTTGCACGGATCCAACCATGAATTAGCTACATATGCTATAACCGACGGATAACCGGCAAATGTTGTTTTCATTGACTCCCAATCCTCATTGAACCCCTCTATAGTATTTCTTTCAATAAGAGCCAAAAAACCGACTGAAATTGCTTCCATTTGGTGTTGTCCTTTGTGAACATTTTCTTACAATTGGCCAATATATTCTTGTTCACATGCCACCGACACAACAAGTGATGACTCGATGGATACACATTGGCCACTGCTTTCATTAAAGACAAATCTCGATCAGTTACAATGCAATTAGGCCGATGACAACTTGTCATGGTCTCCATCAAACAACGCAACGCCCATTCAAAATTTTCCGTATTATCTTGATCCAAGTATGCAAAGGCAATGGAGAACGTCATGTTGGTACAAGTAAAACCTATAATCTCAAGAAATGGGAGTCCGTAACGATTGGTCTTGTACGTGCAATCGATGATGAATACGTACGGATACGACTGTGCCAACTTAATGCATTTCGGGTGGATCCACAACAATTCGGTAATCGCATTAAACTCGTTCGATCTATGGTACGAGAGGTATTCGTCTTCTTTCAACTTGGCGAACAAGAGTTGCAATTGAGATCTCCCAGATAATTCATTGAAATTTAACTTAGAGATAGTATTGTAAACTGTCTTCATACCAGTTACATTAGACGGGTCCTTTTCCTTCAAAAATCTTAGAATTGTCCTTGGTTTCACCATTGCTTTCTTCAAAGTGTGAGCAAGTGAAGTCTGCTGCTTTGATAATCTTCCAGCATCCGTGCAAGTTTTAAATAAGTTGTGGTTGTGAATACCACTATAAACATCCAATTTCCACTCAGCCTTTTCATCATCCTTGTGTTCTTTTGTCCCCTTCAATTTAAACGGACAATTGCATTTCTTTGAACCGGTGCTCTTTTTTTCCCCTTCTTTGATCATCTTCACCGGGTACCTTCTTGCCAGCATAAAGGCCCCCACGCTCACAACGAACAATCACATACGGTGTCCTACGTCCTCTATCCCCGTCACTCGAACCCGCAATCATTAACACCATTCCAATTCTTTTACATACTTCACGAACTCATGCCATTAAAGCTTCTTTTGTTGGGAATTTTTCTGACATGGTAAATGAATGGGTGCAATCGATCTACACAAAAGTGGAGAAAATATTAGACAAGTAAATTTGCAACAAGAAAAAATCGACACCTAAGTGTCGAATTTGTCCCCTATTTTCGAAAATTAAGTGTCGAAAATAGGGGACAAAATCGACACTTAAGTGTCGAAAATAAGGGACAAATTCGATACGTAAGTGTCGAAAATAATGGAAAAATTCGATGGGTAACTGTCGAATTTCACCACGTTTTCGAAACTTAAGTGTCAAAAATGAGTATAAATTTGACAGTTACCTGTCGAAAACTGTATAATATCAATTATTATGTGTTTCGACACATACATGTCGAAAAATAAGGACAATTTCGACCTGTATGTGTCGAAATTTGATGGCGGATTAAAAAAAAAAGAATCAAAACGATGTTTTAACTCAAAAAATACATGGATACATACCTTAATGGGTCCTCTTTGCTCGTAAACTACCATTCTATTGTCATTTGACGCCATTTTGAAAGTTGTGTAAGGTTTTGATTTCTTTAGTTTTGAGGTTTTTTAGGAGGGTTTTTGGGGGAGGGAGAAGAAGGAGGTGGAGGAGGTGAGGGGTTTGTGAGTGAGGAGGGAAATAGGTTTTGAGGGTTTTTGATTATTTGGTATTTAAGAAAGAAAAATAATATTTGTAATATTTTTTTGGTTTTGATTTTCATTAAGCGTATTAAAGTAATTTACTATTAATTATTTATTTATTATTTTTTTGGTATTCAAGTAAGCAAAAGTTGGGATTTGTTATAGTGATCCACTTTTGGAATTTTAAGTAAGGAATTATGTAAAAATGGAGGCGTATTTATAAGACTTGAAAAATAGTATATCTTGGAGCAAAAGGTGCAGAACCCACCGGTTCAACCCATTTTTGCACCGATTCAGCTAGAAAACCGTTGGAGCCATTCGGTTGTACCATTTCAATTTGAACATATTGGTTTGCACTGGTTCAGCCGCATCAATTCAAATCAATTAGACCAATTCAAAGTAAGTTTCGGATAGGAGGATCCATGGATCGTTGGTCGGCCTATTTCCTAAATTTTTAGCCCAAAAATAAACATAAATACTTTGGCCCAAGCCCAAATCAAATCCGAATGGACAACGGCAACGCGTGGGCTTGAAGTCAAAACTTACAATATATAGTCATTTCCCCAAACAAAGTTTGTCCACCTAAAGAGCACATCTTTTATGGCCCAATGTTGAGCTATTTAAATAGCTCACAACTACATTACTAATCCAATGTGGAATAGCTCACATTCCTACATTTTCTTGATTCAAGCAACATAGACTATAGTTTTTCCATTCACCAAAAAATTATTTTTAGTATATAGATGCGTTTTCATATCTACTCATTGCACAAATTAATTTAATCCAAATATTGGTTTCAAATTTCAATAATCAAATAGACCACACATTAATATCGATCAAAAGTTATTCATAATTCAACTTTTAACCAATTTTTCCGACACCGGTCCAATATGAAATAAGACGCATAAATTGCAAGTGCATTAAAATATATTTGGAATTAAATATAAATAGAGAATGAAAATATCCCTTTTATTCACCTAATTTTACAAAAGAAAACATTTTAGCTTCCGAAAATTGGGTCGATTTCTCCATAAAGCCCATTAATTAAGCCCAATTTCCAGTTCAGCAGTCCATAGCAAAGACCTTGACGTTGACCGTTAGCTACCGGAGACTCGATCTGGTAGCCTCAAATTCCATCTACTCCCAACTCCCGTGCCCTTCCCTCCTGTTCTCTACAATGCGAACTAAAGTCGTGACTTCAGCTGCTTATCAAAACCCGATTTCAGTTCAAAAAACAGCCACTGCACTGAACATAACAGCACGCCACAAAAAACATTTCCTTTTAATTTTACCGTTAGCGTGCTCTTTTTCCTCGTTTTCCCACCTTCCCCGGCTCAACCAATTTCACAGAATTTGCAAATAAACCCCCAATTTCATGAACAGCAAAATCTGGAACAGTTGATCATGGACGAAGAAGATGAGAGAATCCCACTCCAAGAAAAGCTTCCCCAGAAGGAAAAATCACCCGAGAAAAATGGGATTTTGGGGGTGATTTTCAGCCCTTTCAACTGGCTGAGTAGACTCAGCGACGAGTTGCACTGGAGCTTCGTGTTGGGAGTGGTGATTGTGTACGGAATCAATCAGGGTTTGTGCTTAGGGTTGAGCAAAGTCAACACGCAGTACTACATGAAAGATGTGCAGAAATTGCAGCCCTCCGAAGCTCAGATTTACCATGGGATGATTATGATTCCTTGGATTGTTAAGCCCTTGTGGGGTATTCTTACGGACACTGTTCCCGTTGCTGGTCGAAGGAGGCGGCCGTACTTCTTCTTCGCTGGTAATCGACTAATTACGTAATCGAATCTTTGTTCCGTTTTTCAATTTGTCTGATTAATTGAAGCATTGAGTTTTTTAGGGCTTGTTTCGATTTCGTTTTGGGGGAACGATTGTTTTAGGGACGAATTTGAGAATGAAAGTAATGTTCGTTTAAATTTTGGGCGAAAAAAGTATTTTAGAGGATTTTAAGTTCGTGGGGGCCGAATGCGTTAATTTTTTGTATGATGGGGGGCGATAATGCTAATTATACACGATTTTTTTTCTTCAATTTTAACGTGAAAAATAGGGATTCGAGAATTGTTGGAGGGGCCATGGCCCCCTATGCTGCGCAACTGATCGTAGCAAGAAGTTTTTGGAATTCTTTTTGGTGAAAGTTTTTTGAAAAGCTTAACAAACATTGGCTTATTAGTTTGTCTCTTCTTCAGGTTTTTGTCTCATTTTACTCCACTATTAATTGTCCAATTCACATTTTGTTGTGGCTTCTTTTGTGCAGCCGTAAATCGTTGTTTTCAGATCAAGTTGATAAAATATATACTTACTCGTTTCGTATAAGTCGTTCATGATTGTGCGTGCTTGTGTGCCGTAAAAGATATATACATTTTGTTCTATTGTTTTGAGTTTAGGTCAGGTAAAACGGAAACTTTTCCGCTAAAATACGACCTCAGAAAATATTGATTCCTAAATGTTGGATTAATAAGCTAATCAGTGTCTCACTCTGTCAATTTTTTTCCGTCAGTTTGTTAATTTAGAAATCATTATAAATAAAGGAATCTTGATTTTACCTTTACGATATTCAGGCATAATCGGTGCAGTATCCATGATTATTTTATCAATCGAAACGAACCTGATTCTTGGATTAGCTTTGTTACTCCTAATATGTGGGAGTGCCGGTGCTGCAATAGCAGACGTAACTATCGATGCATGTGTGACCGAAAACAGTATAAGCCACCCTTCTCTTGCCGGAGAAATGCAGAGCTTGTGTGGATTGTGCTCTTCCATTGGCCAATTAATCGGATACACAATTAGCGGTTTCTTAGTTCATCTAATTGGATCCAAGGTTTTAACTAATTTCATAAAATCTTATAATCAAATTTTGGAATTTGTTAATTCTTGGTTATAATTTATTACGTGTTTTTGCGTGACAGGGTGTGTTTGGAGTGCTTAGTGTACCGGCTGGACTAGTGATTTTTGTGGGACTTATAATACAAGAGCCATTAATTCGGAACTTTTCTTATAAACGAGTAAGCGAATATTTTTGGTGGATTTATTTAGTTGTTTTAAATACGTTGGAGCTAAAATAAAATTGTTTTTTCGGAAATTAGGTTAGTCAGAAATTTGTTGATGCTGGAAGGGCAATGTGGACGGCTTTGAAATGCCCCGTTGTTTGGAGGCCGTGTTTATACATGTATCTATCGCTAGCGGTGAGTCTGCACATACACGAGGGGATGTTTTATTGGTATACGGATGCACACGCGGGCCCCGCTTTTTCGCAGGTATTCTCAATTGTATTTTCTTTTTTGGTGAACTATAATTTATAAATAACCCTTCTGAGGCATGCCTAAAGTATTAAAGTTTCGGAATTATATTTACCTCCCTCCAACTAATGGCTCGTGAAAAACCTTAACGAAAAAATGTCGCATGCCTAAAATGGCCCCGATTTAGAAAGTGAAATTACTGAACACTCCTGAATTGCAAAAATCCTCCTATTATTACATTTAACTTAATGGACAAGGTGCTTAATGCACAACGGTGCTTTTGTTAGGGTTTTTTTCTCGAGCTGTTAGTTTGAAATCGGATGGATTGGATCGGAATTAGAACATTCGGAAAACTTCCAAGTTTTTTGGAAGTGGAAAACTAATTCCAATTTCTTTCCAAAAAAAGGGATATTGGAAAGAAAAAAAACTTGGTCCAAAATTGCAAAATTTCTGATCGGAATCGGCAGAATTTGGAAATTCCAATTCTTTGGTCACCTACAATACAAAATACATAATAATATTGATATTATGAGTGTAATTTTGGAAAAGTCGGAATTTGAAGAAATGTTTTCGGAAATTAAAATCTGACCGAATCTAATATGTACTCGGTATTCCAATTCCGTCCCAAGAAAAAATAGAAAATTGGAAATTAGAACTTTCAAACTTCAGAATGAAAAACATTGTTACGGAATAGAAAATTTGCAAACAATAGAAATAGTTTTTGTAATGTAAGCGTACCTCAGTTGGCTATTTATAATTCACCCTTTATTTTTCATCCCGAGTTTTCGTAGTCTGCAAGATTTCCAATCTAAACTTATTGCTAACACTTCCTCGATCACTCGAGCCGTGCACAATTATGTATTTAAATTACGTAAATAAAAACTCTACTCTTTCAATTTGCAGGAGATGGTGGGATCAATCTCAGCCGTAGGTGCAATTGGGTCTCTACTAGGCGTTCTCCTCTACCAAAACATATTCCGAAAACACCCTTTTCGCAGCGTGCTCTTCTGGGCGCAGTTGCTCTACGGTGCATCGAGTTTGATCGATTTACTATTAGTCCTCCGTATAAACCTAACCCTCGGAATCCCAGATTACGTAATCGTAATATTCGACGCCGTCGTTTCCCACATGATCGCGCGTCTCAAATGGATGCCTCTCCTCGTTTTAAGCTCGAAGCTTTGTCCAGCTGGCATCGAGGGCACTTTTTTCGCTCTTCTAATGTCGATTGATCATATAGGATATTTTACAGCATCTTGGGGCGGAGGAATATTACTACACGGTTTGAATGTGACGAGGACGAGTTTTGATAATCTTTGGTTGGCTGTTTTGGTGAGGAGTTTCTTTCGAGTTCTTCCGATTGTGATTTTGTTTTTGGTGCCAAGCGGTGATCCGAATTTGAATATTCTTCCGATTGAGATGCTGGGAGCGAAGAAGGGTGAGGATTTAGCCGATGATTCGGAAATGGAAATGGAAGCCCTCCTTGTTAATAGAGCCAATCAAAATTAAATTGTTAAAAGCAAAAAAAAAGAAAAAAAAAGGGCCCGATCGTAATTCGTTCGACGAAATCCCCGTTTTTTTTTTTTCTGCGATTCGAGGATGTAAGTTGCTTATACAGATATGAGATGGAGACAATTGTAGGGGAATATATTTTTACAGGCATTAGGAATTTTGAAATGTACTGAGAGATTCCATATTTTTTGTCTGAAAAACAAGAAATGCAGTCTCAACATGCAAAACCGAATTCCCTTTTGTCATTTTGTTTTGTTTGTTCTTGGTGTGTACTGTGTGGTGATGTGATTACTCTGTTTCTTTATTTAAATATTAAATAAAAACAATCATTTTTTAATATACAAACATATCTAGTTTTAAAATTACTATATGACTTCTGTAAAATGAAGTTTTATACAGAATAGGGTAAATTACTGTCACATATGGGTAATGTTAAATTGTTAAAAAATCCATTTTGTTTGGATAATAACAACAACCCATTAACTATAATTTTTCTTATACATCAACCCTTATGGTGTTAGATTCAATACAATGTTCTAGATTCCGTTGAATGTTCTCTAATTTGTACTTGTTTTGTGCGAAAATGCAGTTTATGATGTACCACAATCTGGTGGAGGGGAGCTCGAATGGGATCAAACGGGTACAAACTGAAGAATATTCCACATAATCTAAAATATTCTACTAAATTTGACACTGCAGGAATGAAAAATATAAAAAAATTTATAGTTGAGGGTGTTTGTAATTACTCAAACATGAGGAGAGTTTTCGTAATTTGACATTATCGTAATTTACCCTACAAAATAACATGAAAGCATGTATTTCAAATGAACCTTAGTATATATTACATTTGAGTAACCAGATATAAATAAAATTAAACACAAACAATCTTTCATACATATTTTTTTTCTATACCACCCCAACACATTTATATGTAGACAAAAAATCAAACCTAATAAAAACACAAATCTTTCTACATATCTATTTCCCAAGGTCATGTTTGGCTTTGCCAATAATCACAACTTTTTCTTAATTCTCACTCCATTTTTACATCTCTGTCTTAACTCTTAACTGAAACTGCAGGTCTCCCTTGCAAACCCTACTTTCATCACCTTAGTATCATACACAACCCTAGTGTTCCTCTGCTGATAATTCCCGATAATTCCCGTCTCGCCCTCGTACGTCAGGCTGGCGAGCGCCAAACACACCTGCGAAGCGTCCCTCCTGACGAAGTAGAACATTCCGGAAACATCCACTGTCATCTCAGCGTCTCCATCGAACCACATCCTCAACGTCGGAATATTCACTTCCTCGTACCCCGAAAGATTAAAGCACGTGTCCAAAATCGAGAAGCTCGGAGCGGAAGGGTACCCTGTGAACTGCTTCAAGAACTCCGTTTTGACAGCCGTGTAAATCGAAGGCGGCAGCCTCGTAATAACGGTCCCCGAGTCGATGAGAATACCGTTCTTCCCGAAATTCGGTGACTGTAAACGGACCCCGCCGATCGTAATTCCGGTTAAGTTCAAAACGTAGAAGCTGTTAAGCATAGGATTTCGGACAAGATTCGTGTAGGAAATCGGTGTGCTATTCTTGTAGAGTGAAGTATCGCTACCTAGTACTAACGAACCGGACGTTGACGAATCTGTATCGGGCAAGCAGTACGAGAAAACCCCTTGAAATAAATCGGAAGTTTGGGAAATCATTGAGAGATCACTTCTGCCGAACCCCATCAAGCCAGAAGCTGCGCCAAACAGGCCCTTATTTTCCTTACCGCAACCGAATATAAAATTTTCGACTGGGGTGGGGCCGAGAAGTAGACGATCGGTGCCCAACTCTCCCCGCGTGTACGAACCATCTCCATACGTAACAGCATAGTCACATGTGTTTGCGTTATTATTATTATTGCCGCAGAATGCCGAGTACTGCAGGGAACTGCAGGATTGGGAACTGCAGGGGACAGGTTTGTAGGAAGGGGATGTTGAAGGGTTGAAGAGTGGCTCCGGTTGGGTGTAGCAGAGTTTGCATGGCTGGCATTGGACCCACGTGAGGTCACTTCCGGTGTCGACTATTAGGGTTAGGTTCCGACGGGCTAGGGTTATCGAGACGATGTAGTTTAGTGTCTGGAGTTTGATGCCCGAATTGATCGGAATCTCATGAGAAGACGCTGATTCTTGAACTACTAGGTTTTTAATTCTTGACTGTATGGACTCGACTCGGGCTTCGTCGGAAACGAGGCGTTGCTCGAGTTTGTGGGCCCAGCCCATCATCGGCCCGGCGAAGAAGTCCGTGTGCTTCATTTCTAATATGGTTGCTCCATTTTGTGTCACTCCTGATAATTCAAATGGATTTATAATTTTATATATAGTGAGATGAGAAATAAAAATATTGGCCTTAAATTTTGGTATTGAATAAGGTGTAAAACAGAGGAAGTAGCTCTGTTTCTTGAAATTAGAGTTCAAGAAAACACATATGAATAATAACCAAATATCTCAAAGCAAATGCAAATTCACATGCAAATTAAATTCTTGCTTTATATATATGGGCTCACTTGATTTCTGAGAGAAGACGGGGCTTCTGCGGTAGGCTGCGTCGTTTCGCCATTGAAGATTCTTTAAAGAAAGAAGTTCGTTTTCATCGAGACTAGAAATCTCATTAGTGAAACTAAGTGCAATTAGTAGAAGAAGAAAGAAGATTGATGATGATGATGATGGCCAAAGAACCATTATTTTACTCAAAAAAATAAAATAAAAATAAAAATGGAAGTGGTTTATGAAGAGATAAGAGAGATGAATTTGGTGCAGAGCAGAAAAAGGAAAAGGAGAGAAGAAATAAAGAAGTGGGGTGTGGTGTAGAGAGAGATTCTTGGGAGTTGGAGTTTGGCATGAGAACAAATGGAGGAGTTGGCTAAAGACCCCACTTTTGCATGAGAAATTATTGGTATTTCACGTGCACATACTTGGAACACAATTTTTTTCTTTTTTTTTTATTTAATTAAAAAATCATTTTATAATTTTCATCTCAGTTACCGAAATAAATTCTGATGATTCCTGATTTTTTTTCTAAATCTTCTTGGATCGAAAATTGAAATCTCATATAATACCATTATCTTTATGCACTATATACTATAGGTGGGTGAAGAAAGAAATTTTCCAAGTGCTGCTAATTCGATCCGAAATTTTCTGATTTTTGGAACAAATTTTTTTTTTTTTTTAATTTCAATTTCTGATTCTCTTGATTTGTTTTTGTAACGGAATAGTAATTAATTTTCCATTTAAGAAAAATGCTAATTTACATCAGTTTGTTTGATCTCCTTTCCTAGTTTCTAAGTACTTGGGAGACCTATACACGATCGGTTCTGACTATAGGCAAAAGAGACGGTCGCTTAGCCCCTTAATTTTTAGAAAATTTTATGGGCCCACAAATATTTCTTTATACTCTTATATATTAGGCATAGCATTAATTGATATTTAAAATTTATTAATAATTCAACAATTCGAATAGTCATAATTATATTTCAATCTTATACTTATTCTTGCATTTTTGCACAATATATTATTTGACATACAGTAGAACCTCGATGAATTAATACCCGATAAATTAATAACCTCGCTTAAATAATAAATTTTCCCGGTCTCGGCTCGGGGACAACGTGCTAAATTAATAATTCGCTAAATTTATAAGATAATACACATTCGAAAAATTTAAGAAGCCCCATATAATATATAAATTAATAATGCATAAAAATAATTCTTAAATTACATGGTATAGTACATATTTTATAGATCTATGAAAGCTTAATACAATATAATTTAATTGTTGCTTGTTTTTTGTTGAAGTTCACATTACTATCAATCCCGTCCCTCACTTTTCTTGACATGGTTAGAACTTTCGGTATAGTTTTATCATAACTCAACATAAAATTGTTCTATACCATTGCTCATTTAAGAGCTTCCGTTCGTGAAACGGGCTTTATAATGCATTGAACTAATGGTACAATGAATAATATACACGTAAAAAAATTAAAAAAAAAATGTATTTATTGAAAATAATAATAAAAGTAATTTCATAAATTAATAATTTATTAATTAATGTATAAATTAATAATTATTAATTTATCGATACGTTAATATTTCGCTAAATTAACGAAATTTTAATGGTCCCAACAGTATTAATTTATAGAGGTTTAACTGTAGTTTATATGTTTGTTGAATTTTTATACTTATACTTGCATTTCATGTAATAAAATGTCTCAGATCAATTACTATCAGTTGTATATTGAGTTCTTTTCATATCTACTTGTTTAGTATTATTTCTAAGAGTACTTTGCCCTCAAATCACGAGCTAATTGCATATAACCCCCTGTGTAATCTGGAATTGTTAAAAAACCCCTCATGTTAAAAATATTAACATAAACCCCCCTATATTATTTTTAACAAAGCACACTGCCCCTTATTACAAAATTAGCAGTTGACCTATAGGAAATGACTAAATTAACCCTCATATTATAATAATTTATGTTTCAATTATAAATAAATAAAACTGCAAAATGAATATAATTAGAACAAATCAAAAAGAAAAAAAAAACATAATGAAAAAGAAGAAAACCCACGGCCATCGTCTCCTCCCCCAACCCAAAATTCTTCCATCTGCATCACCACCACCTCACCACCACCTCCGCACCACCTGCCTTCCCACCCAAAAAAGAAAATATGCTTTATGTTTAATTTGATGGGTTTTTCCAGATTTCTTTTGAATCAAGATTTTTGGTCGCGACCCTATTCGTCTCATCTCTTCGTCGGAGGTGGGTTTGGAGGCGGCATCATCCGGGCCGGATGAAGCATCCATGGCGAGGAACAGATTTGAGAAGAAGGAGACGGAGAAAGAAGATGAGGTTTTGAGAAATTATGAAAATTGCAATTTGGTCCTATGCAATTTGGAGAGAGGGCAGCGGCGGCGGCGTGGTTGAATCGGAGAGTCGGCCAATGATTCTTCGAGTTTGACATTCTTCTTCTTCTTATTCTTCCTGAAGGAACGAATTAAGTTTTCACAAATTGGAAGAAAATGCTATGGAAATTGAAAGAAATTTCTTTGAAGGGTTTTTGTATATTTTTTTGTTTGGGCAGGGAAGTGCCGAAAAATTTTGAGGAGCCGTTTTTCTTCCATTTTGTTTTCTTGGATTTGGAATAGAAATGAACTTCATGTTCAGATATGGGTTTGGTTGATGGTTTTTGCCGGAAAAAATCATGGTGAAAAAGTGGAGGACTAGTTGAAGAAGATGGCTTAATTGAAAATATAAAGGACTCAATTGAAAATCTTAAAAACTTCATTTTGGTACTTATAAAGTTTCTGGTTGCATTTTGGTATTTCGTGTCAAAAAACGAACCCCCACTCTCATCCATGGCGAGTGAAGTGCACGGTGAGCTCTTAAGGGCCTTATTGCCTTTGACTAATTTTTATAGGGCGGTATTTGCTAATTGTTTTAACACGAGGTCGTTTTCAGCAATTCGAAATTACACAGGGGTGGTTTTTGCAAAAAACCCCTCAAATCACCGTAAACCTTAGATTCATCATCTTTTACATCATTTATATTCTAGTCATATATCTCCAAAAATCTCAATCCCGAATAAAAAGAAAGTTATAGTTCAGTTATGCTCGTCGTAAGAGCGAATTAATGCACATATAGTGTATAACAATGTCCCGCTTTTAGTAAATTTTAAAACTCGACTAGGGCTCCCAATTTCTCTAGAACAACCCTGGAGCTATATGTAATATATAAAATAATGCATAGGATATTTTGTTTTCAGAAAATTTCTATTGGTTTTAGTGAAGTTGTCATTGATAAGGACTTTCACCTCCCTTCACGGATTCAACTGTCACAACTTACTAATGAACAGAAACAACAAGTCCTTTTTAACAGTTTTCTTGGTTGTCCTTGTCAATTTTCACCTTTGTTGTGTGTAAATATGTGTGTATGTATGTACACATACCTAATTTTCACTTTTGTTGTGTGTAAATATGTGTGTGTGTGTACACACACTTAGTACTTGATTAATTAAGCTTATTCAACACACTTGCCTTGGCCTTTTTTTTATACTCAGGATTATTTTTTTTCCGTAATAATACTGATTCCAATTTTTCGATTATTTTAATCTTTTGATAAGCTCTTACGTCTGATAAGATGTTTTTAGAGCTGATAAGTTGTTACATCTTTTTTTTAGGATTAATTTTTTGAGTGTTTGGATAATGAGTTTATTTCCTATTTTTACTCATTATCAGATCTTAAAAAATAATGTGGTTCCTCACCAACAGCTTATTTTAAAAATTTTTTTTTTTTTTTTTTAAATTCAAACACTTTGGAATAGCTTATAAGCTCCTTTTAATATATTACTAGTAACTCACCCGTGCGATGCACGGGGATTAATTCAAAAACTTAGAATGAGTTAATGTAGAAAACCAACGAATAAAAAATATGTCGAAAATGTAAAGAATACAACTGAACAATAAATAACAAATTCGTATCTTAATTTATCAATCAAAAGTCTCGTTAAAAAATAAACAGACAATGTTCTAAGCACCATCCACGTTGAAATGTAGCAAGTAACTCCGAGATTGTAATCAAAGTAATGCACCAGTCTTGCAAATTAATCTGAATGTTGTTAAAGAAGACCACGGAACTACAATCAGATCTACAACCAGAGGACGAAAAACCTGTTATTTTTCATCATTTTCAATATATAAGTCAAAGGCATTAAGTAAATAAAGAATATATATATATATATATATATATATATATATATATATATATATATATATATATATATATATATATATATATATATACAACAAATGAAGAATGTGTGCATAGAATTACCTTTGCCAGGAAGTAATTGAATATCCCATCGAAAAACACTATTCACTAAAATAAATCTGAACGCACATTAAATGTACACGTATGAGTCAACGAAAAACATACGCATGCATATAATATATAAATGATGTTTATTAAAGTGTATCTTCATATTCCCTGAAATACAACTCTTGAAATACTTCTTTGTACACGATATTGCAAGTAGCATAGGACAATTCACCGGATTCTTAATTGATGAAAATCCTTATTTAAAATATGCTCTTAACTCTAGACAGTGTTACGTACAATACTAATATTAATTTAATAGTGATACTAATACTAAATTTAATACAAATACACATACTAATATACATATTAGTAATAATAGTAATACTAACAATAATAATAATGGTTAATATAAATACTAATACTAATACTAATATTAATATTAATACTAATACTTACACTAATAGTAATGGTTAATACTAATACTAATACTAATACTAATGCTAATACTAATACTAATGCTAATACTAATACTAATACTAATACTAATACTAATACTAATACTAATACTAATACTAACACTAATACTAATGGTTAATACTTAATACAAATACTAATACTAATACATATACTGATATTGATATTGATACTCATACTAATACTGATACTGATACTGATACTGATACTGATATTGATATTGATAATGATACTGCTATTGATACTGATACTGATAGTGATATTGATATTGATAATGATACTGATAATGATACATATATTAATAATGATGTTGATATTAATACTAAACTGATACCGATAGCAATAGTGATACTCATACTTATATCGCTAGCAATAGTGATACTCATACTCACATCGATACCGATGTCGATACCGATACCGGTACCGGTACCGATATCGATATTGATATTGATCGTCATACTGATATTGATATCAATACCGATACCAATACTCATACGGATACCGATACGCATACCGATATCGATACCGATATTGATACTAATACCGATACCGATACCGATACTGATACCGAT